TCAGAATTGCATTTAAATACATGGATGGCGATATACTAAAGAAATTGTTCATGACTTTTGTTAGGCCAAAGCTAGAATATGCAGCTGTTGTGTGGTGCCCATATCTTAAGAAGCACATCAACAAACTGGAAAAGGTGCAAAGACATGCTACTAAGTGGCTCCCAGAACTGAAGGGCAAGAGCTACGAGGAGAGGTTAGAAGCATTAAATATGCCAAAACTAGAAGACAGAAGAAAAAGAGGTGATATGATCACTACATACAAAATAGTAACAGGAATTGACAAAATCGACAGGGAAGACTTCCTGAGACCTGGAACTTCAAGAACAAGAGGTCATAGATTTAAACTAGCTAAACACAGATGCCGAAGAAATATAAGAAAATTCACCTTCGCAAATAGAGTGGTAGACGGTTGGAACAAGTTAAGTGAGAAGGTGGTGGAGGCCAAGACCGTCAGTAGTTTCAAAGCGTTATATGACAAAGAGTGCTGGGAAGACGGGACACCACGAGCGTAGCTCTCATCCTGTAACTACACTTAGGTAATTACACTTAGGTAATTACTCGTGTTCCGAGGTACCACTGTACATGTACATGTGTACACTGTGTAATTACCTAAGTGTAGTTACAGGATGAGAGCTATGCTCGTGGTGTCCCGTCTTCCCAGCACTCTTGTCATATAACGCTTTGAAACTACTGAGTCTTGGCCTCCACCACCTTCTAACCTAATTTGTTCCAACCGTCTACCACTCTGTTTGCGAAAGGGAATTTTCTTATATTTCTTCGGCCTCTGTGTTTAGCTAGTTTAAATCTATGACCTCTTGTTCTTAAAGTTCCAGGTCTCGGGAAATCTTCCCTATTGATTTTATCAATTCCTGTTACTATTTTGTATGTAGTGATCATATCACCTCTTTTTCTTCTGTCTTCTAGTTTTGGCATATTTAATGCCTCTAACCTCTTCTCGTAGCTCTTGCCCTTCAGTTCTGGGAGCCACTTAGTAGCATGTTTTTGCACCTTTTCCCGTTTATTGATGTTCTTCTTAAGATATGGGCACCACACAACCGCTGCATATTCTAGCTTTGGCCTAACAAAAGTCGTGAACAATTTCTTTAGTATATCGCCATCCATGTATTTAAAAGCAATTCTAAAGTTAGAAAGCGTGTGTGTAACATACCCTGTGTATATGTTTATATGTATGTGTATGTGTATATACATAATATTTATGTATATATGTGTATATGTGAATGTATACTTTTTCTTTCGGAAGGGGCTCTATTCCCTTCTCTGCTGATGGGATGCTGGGGAAGCAGCTTGCTCTGTTGACTCTCGCATGGTCCCGCAGTTAGTGGGTGCTTTTGGTTGTCTTCCGGCCTCTGGTGGCGGCGGTGGACAGCTTCTTCCCCTTTGGGGGGTTCAGGGCTTGCGGGGTGGGATTCTTCCCCTGCGCTTCGTCATGTCATCTTAGTGGGTGCGTTGGACGTGGTCGATCCGCCCCCATCCTTCTGGGGTTCCCGTCTGCTTTATGCAGACATGGGCCTGTCGAATCTTTGGTTCTTCTGGACTTCTTCAGTCTGCGTTCTGGATTCTATTCCCTCAAGGACTGTTGTCTCCAGTCCGGCTTCTGTTAGGGCCAGGTGCCTGGATGGTGGCCCTGGACCTCCAGGTCAATTTTTGGCACATTCCTCTCCAGTTTTCTGGGACTGGCACAGTTGGTGGTGGGGCTTCAGGCTTGCTGCTTTTGTTGCCTTTCCTATTTTGTAATTGGCACTTGATGTATTTATGCATCTTTACCGGATCTTGGTGCCCTGTCTAAGTCTGCTTGGGATTCGGTGTCTGGCCTACCTCGACGACTGGCTGGTGTGGGCTCCCAGTCGGTCCGCTTGTCTGCTTGTAAGGGGTGTGGTTCTTTCCAGATCACCGAGTTTGGTTTCCTGGTGACCTGGAGGCCGTTCCATCTGTTCCCGTCCTGGGTTCGGACCTGGCTGGGTCTTGTTTAGGGCTTTTGGGCCGCTACTTGTCTTTCCCTCCAGAAGTGTTGCTGCGGCTGTGGTCCCGCCTTCGGCTGTTCATGAAAAGGTCCCAGGTTGCTCGAGCAGTTGTGCGGGAGTCTGAACTTCGACGTGCTGGTCTGCCCTCGGGGTCGGGTTTGGCTTCAGCGTCTGTTTGGTTCCTTCGGAGACTCCCCTTCCGCCTCTCTTGCAATCGTATGGTTCGTTCCTCTGGAGATCTTGTGTTGGTGCTGCGTCACCAGCTTCCTCTTTGGGGGTTTTGGGGTTCCGTGCCTTGGCACCTCCCCGAGCCTTTGCTCGATGTGTTCACGGACGGGTCATCTCTCGGCTGGGGCTTTGTGACCAGTGCTCACCAGGTCGGCCAGTGATGGTGGGGTCTGTCCAGCCGTTGGGCTCACAGCACGGTTCGGGAGTTCGTGGCTGTCTGGTTTGCGTTTCGGAGGGTTTGGGTCACTCGGTGCTCAACCATTCTGCTGCACTTGGACTGTTCTCGGCGGTTCTTTGCCGGAACCACAGGGTTTCTCTTAGGTGTTTGACCTTTGGGGTTGGTCCCTTTATTCTCGGGGTTTGGCTAAACATGAGGTTCATGTCTGGGGTGTGTCCTGCGTCCTGGCGGACAGCTGTCTCGGTTCTTTCCTCTGTTTGTGGATTGGCCAGTCGTCGCCAACTCGTTTCGTTGGCTCTGCCGGATGTATGGACTCCTGGCCATGGACATCTTCGAGTCGGCATGGTCAAGGCGTTGCCCATTCTATGTGGCGCCCTCACCCGCTTGCGAGGCGTTCACGGTGGATGCTTTTCGGCAGGACTGGTCGAGGTGGGGGTACCTGTTCCTTTTCTTCCGGTCCTGCTGTTGCATCAGGTTCTGGCTCGGTTGGAGCCCATTCCCACGAGAGTAGTCCTTATGGTCCCTTGGTGGCCGGTCCAGCTTTATTTTCAGACGCTGCTTGATAGGTGTCCGAACCTGGGGCATTTTCCCGCGGCTCCGCCTCTTTCAGCAGGTCGTATCGGTCCTGTACGTGACTGGTTCGGCCTTCTCCTCGGCTCTTCGCGTCTGGTATTTTGACGCGGGTATCACCATCTCTGTGGTGATCAGGTGGCTTTGTTGACGGCGTCCCACCTGCGAGCTTCGGCTTGGTGACAGTATGACGTTCCTGGTGCTTTTATGCACTTCTTCTTGCTCTTCGTAGGTTGTCTTCTCTTTCGCATCGGGTTGTCTTGTCCTTTCTTGGGTTTTCAGGACTACAGTTATTTGATGTTTCTTACTGTCGCCTCGTTTTGTGCGGCGCTGGTGGAGCTGCTCCGGCTTGGGGTTGACGTCACATCCGCCCCGTTCCGTTTGCTTTTTCGTGTTTTGTTTCACCTTCGGCCTGCTCATGCATCGCCTGAGCCATCCTGGTCCTTGATCAGGGTGCCTTCTTACCTTCTCCTCAGTTTGTGGTAGCCCCTTCGGTTCAGGTTTCTGCTCTTTGGTACTGGTGGTAGGTTTGTACGTTTGCAGCCTTTCTACGTCCTTCTGGCAACGGTCGAGACAGCTGCTTTCCGGAGGGGTTCTTGGGATATTGATGCTTGTTTGGTTCGGTCGGGGGGTGCGTCCTGTGTTGTCCAGTTGGATTTTTTTTTTTTTGCCGTTACCTGCGTACCGTGTCTGGGGATGCGCTTTGGGTTGATCCGGTTCCCCTCGTTCCTTGTTTCAGGGCTCGGGTCTCCCAGGTCGTCCACAGAGATTTTAAGTTTTCCAGCCTGCGGTCTGTCCTTGCGCCCATGCTGTTTGGACGTTTGCAGCTTTTGCTGCTGTGTTGATGTCTAGGGCTCATTTCGGGCGCAGGGATTTGAGGGTCGCACAGGGTTTTGGTCGCCCATTCTTTATGCGCGTCTGCTCCTGTGCGTTCTTGTTGCCTTGGGTCTCAGTTTGCAGCCTGTTGTCTCAGCTTCGCGTTACAGAGTTTGTGGCGGCCACCTCCTGCGTCAGCTCTTTCTTTTCCTTCTCTTTGGGTATGAAGCACCAGGGAGCCGTAGGGGCTCCCCTCAGAAAACCAGCGTTGAATGTAATGAAACGCCATTTTCTGGTTGAGCCCCGGAGGCTCTCTGGCAACCCTCCCTCCCACCGGTCGGCGTCTTTTTTGCATTGGTTGATGCTTAGCTTCCGAACTGAAGCTAGGCAGCCGACGCAGTAGGTCCGGGGCTGCCCCCTGCCCCTCTCAGGGCAGGGAGGCCTGCGCGGACGATCGGCGCGGCAGTAAAGTGTGATGTTTGCTTGTTGCTTGTTTCCTTGCAATTGTAGGGAGTTTCTACCTCTGTTTGTTTTTTGTTTTAGTTTTTTACCATGTGGGGTTTGTTTTGTTATGCCTACCTTTCTGGGTGCCTAACCCCGGTCGATGGCAGATAAGGAAAACCCCAACCACAAGGGGGTTTTCCAGGGCCATTACTCCCTGAAACCTCTCTGAAGGGGCCAGGTTCTGGCCCTGGTCCCTGGTAGGTCTGAACTCCTTAGCTAATGTCCCAGTCTAATATAACATACGATAAGCTCCAAGCGATAAGCGATAATCTCTTGATAAGCTCCAGGGAGCCTCCGGGGCTCACCCAGAAAATGGCGTTTCATTACATTCAATGCTGGTTTTTTACCCAAATAGGAATTTGGGTTAAAAGGTTATATTGAACGAGAAAACTGAATAAATTCTAGTTCGAGTGCTTTTCTCGACTTGAATTGAAAATCAGGTTTCTGCATTTTCTGTGAAATGAAAACCCAAAAGAAATTTTTTCAAATTTCATTTTTGGACATTCCAAGTAAAATAGGGGTCTAACTAGAATGTTAGGTTAACTTGAATGTGGGTTTGGTTCCATATGTTTGTTTACTGAGTGTAGACTGTACTGGAAAAGTGTATCTGTATTTTTTAATGCAGATTTTCCTCTTCATAATAATTGTTCTATCATAGGCATATAGTGTGTCATAATGGACCATATCTGCAGTTTAAGAGTTAATGGAACTAACTATTTCAGGAGGGCCAAATTGCTACTGTCAGGACTGGCATGGATGTATTATGTCAAAAAATGTGGTAGGTCAAGACAATGTTCAACCCTCAAAATTCTCCAAGTGCTCAGTTGATGACTACCATCATGCCCTACAAACTGTTGAAGAAGCCAGCTGTCTTCTTCGTACTCCATCTAAGGTATACATAGGCTAGTTTTTTCTAAGCTAGTGAAATATACCATTGACCATTATTAAGAATGTAAACCACTTTATTTAGTCAAAATCTTATTTTTCAGTTAGTGCAGTTATGAGATTCCTTTCAATGTGTGTATGGTTGGTAAGACTGAATTTGTTCTTAGCAAAACTTATAATAGTAAATACTATCATTATGTATATAGGGAGCAATCTAAAATTTTATTTTAATGTCAGTTAGTTCTTCTATCAATTATTATTTATAAATTGGTTACAGTTACAGTGATTGAGGTAATGCATTTAAGTGCCATATACATATATGGTGGAACCTTGGAACTTAACAATATTGCTCGCTTTGGACACCAATCACATCCGTTTAACCCCCCCCCCCACCCCCCCGAGTCCTAGCCGTGGACAGGACTCGTATCCACTCCAAAAATATTTGTATAAAATTCATTTTTTATCCGATCGACCTCGGGATAGTTTCAAAATAAGCGCCTTTAGAATGTGCACAGTTTGATACCAAAATGAAAGATGTAACATGACACTTGATGTCAGAACACTTGAAAGATTATAAATAAGTTTTTGGGTCTAAATTTTAAATTTTTAGAATATGTTAAAATTCTATTTATTGTGCTATTATTATGGGACTAGTTTTAAAATTCATGCCTTTAGATTGCAAACAATTTGATATCAAAACGAGCGACGTAACACGAAAATTTGTCAGAACGCTGGAAAGATATAAATAATTTTGATGATGAGTGTCCAAAATTAAAATATTTGTTAAAATTCCAGTTATTGCTCTATTTTTATGAGACTAGTTTTAAAATGAGTGCCTGTTTACTGCAAACAATTTGATACCAAAACAAGCGATGTAACATGAAAATTTGTTATCAAACTGAACGAGTATACACATAAAGTTGTGGTGTGCAAATTGGTGCTCATTCATGGGTAACTTTAGGCTTTGCTGCAGGGATTCTCTCCAGGCTTTTGGACATTATATGCATATACACCTGCAGGGAATTTAATTGTGAACACAATGATACCAAAACGAAAGACGTAGCACGAGAATTAAGGTGAGAAAACTGAAACGAGTATACCCATTTAGGTGTCGTCGCACGCTCGCCCGCACAGTTCGCCCCATGACGTCAAAGTCTGTGGAGCTCACGTGCCGCGCGCGATAGTGTTAATTAATTGGTTCCAGAAGGCCATTCGAGTGCCGATCTGTTCAAGTACCGAATAATTTTTCCCATAAAGAATGTCAATTTTATTAATCCATTGCAGACCACAAAAAATATACACATGAGTACAGGGCCACAGGGCTAACAACACTGAAAACTAGACATGATAGGGGCTGATCTCATCGAAACGTTCAAAATACTGAACAATTTCATGGATGTTTATCTGGACAACTTCTTCAAAAGGTCAGATGTAATACAGACAAGAAGTAAGAGTTTGAAGCTCAACAAGATACAGTGCAGAACTGAAAACAGGAGATGCTTTCACCCACAGGGCTATAAACCCATGGAATCGCCTACCCGCCAAAGCCGTAAATGCCAAAACTCTGCTGAACTTTAAAATCCTGCTTGAAAAAAATCAAGATAAAGGGGGGGGGGGGGACCTTTGACAATCCACCGGCTTCCTGTCCTCAATGAGGCCACTAGTGTGTTAGTGGCCCTCAGGTAAATTCATGTAAATTCAGGAATACAATAAATTATATATTTGGAAGTTCATTCTCACTTTACCTGCACTTAAGAGAGCTGATAGCATATGTGGAAGGTGGTGAGGCAGACATTTAAAATGTTCCTAAAGTGACATACATCGTTATTCAACAGGTCATTCATATCCCAAATGCGGTCTGGTCAAGTTCAACTTCACCCCTAACCTGCTCCCGCGACTAGGGGTGAAATTTGTATTGGTGTTTAGCTCAGCCTATACACAAGGGAACTGACCAATACCTACCATTTTCTATACATCTTGTACCATTCTTAGATGGAGGATTGGACAACAGAGGAACTTGCTACTCCCCACTGCAATTATGACATGGACACAGATTTAGAAAGCAGCGAGTCGGTAGCGGAAAATAATTTTTAGGAAGTGTTAACCAGTGAACAGAAGAAATTGAGAAGGATCTGAGGCCAAATGAAGAGAGTGATAGTGTGACTAATGGAAACAACAAGAGAATGAAGAACAATACTGAGAATGATTAAACCAGTATCGACAAAAGGAATGAACAAAGTTGGAAACTTGCCCAGGAATGTGACGGTCAGCGGAGGTGGAGGCTTCTCTTCCCTAACTCATGCACACTGACCTACCACCTGAAGCTGCTGTGGACACTCAACCTATGAAAAAAGCACCACAAGTTCGAGCCATTACTGAAGGAAGGTATAAACAGACCTTTCTTAACAGCCTCCACAGAACCTACCGTTATGTGTCTGACCCAGCAAGGATATGGAACTTGTTATAGAAACACCAGTGGAGAATGAGAAACTGACAAAGGTGATTATTTACAAATACTGTAGAAGCTCGATAATCCGGAGCCTGCCGATTTGGAAAACACACTGGAATATATCTGGTCAGAATGTCCATAGAAGCCGGACTACTGGATTTTTGGCTAAATCAGCATATACTGATAGTTTGAAGCCTAAAAATTTCACGATTTTCCTAAAAAATCGCTCATGCAATGAGCATCCTGGAGGCATTGCGCGCCATCTTCAAGCACCTAGAGTTGCCATGAATTTATTTTCACAGCATTATTTAAAGTGTCTAGGCGTATTTTACCACAATTTTTTTAATTAATTCTGTTCCATATAATGTTAGTTGATGTTGAATTATAATAGAACTTGGATCCATTCAATACACACTTTCATATTAGTGTCACAATTATGCGCTCACAAATGTTTTCTTTTACACCATATATATTATGTATTCAGATTTTTCACCAATATATATACACACACTCACTCAATATGTACAGGTTTTTGCACCATTATTGGATATTTAGAAGTCCAGGAGACTGTGGTAGTCGTTGAAGCAGTTGACAGCACACAAAAGGGACGTCACATACTTCACACAATGTTTGCACCAGTTTACGTTTCTGTGATCTTGTTAGTGTGGTTTTACAAACTATGCACCCCTCGCTGGCCTATTGCATGCTTTCCAGCTGGTGGCAAATATTTTAGTTTGTGTATTTGAAAAGCCTCCATGTTAGTGAGCCTGGGTGTAGCAGCATGGTGCAATACTTGGTTCTGAATGGGTCTTTGTATGCCAGGAATGTCTTTGTCAAACTTTGTTACTGTGTCACAACTGTAAAACAAAATGTATGGAAAGTTAGTTTACGACATGTTTTCACCAGATACATATTGAAACTGTTCAGCATGGTTATGTCAACAAGGTGGATAAGCATTTTTTTCATCCATTCAGTGTTTTCCATACACACTTGACAGCGCCCACCATCATGTCACATTTATCAACCAAATGCATGTTGATATTATTGTCCAGAACACAATCTGGTTTATATATTGGTTGTTTCGTTGTTCGGTTCACCTTGCCACTGTGCAGCATTGTACCATTGTGAATGGTTGTCAGCATGTTCAATTCTCTCATGTCTTTCCACCACACTGAGAGTATTTGATTACTTTTTCTTAGCTGGCAGTCACCAACTACAATATTATTGTTAAACACTGGCATTTCTCTTCTTTTTGCCTTTACTGTGCCACACACTCCAGTTCTATTTTCACGCAAGAAACTAGTTAGCAAGGAACTTGTATAATAAATAAATAAATCCACATGGACCATGATGAGGTTTCGAACTTACGCAGCAAGATCCCAGATGCTGCCTTAATCAACTGTGCCACGACATGGTAAAAGAATTGCAACCTAGAGTTCTACTGACCTCACTCGGATCCTGCAGCCTCTCCGAGACACAAACCAGGATTTTACACAATTTCCCCATGCACTCGGGCTCTGTCAACAAGTTTTTCTACCTCTTTGCCTTACTTCAATACACACAGAAATCACAATATCATGATATAGCAAATGAATAAATCCACAGGGGCCTGTGATGAGGGTTCGAACTTATGCCCGGGATGATCCCAGACACTGCCTTAGTCAACTGCGTCACGTTATGGTAAAAGAATTGTGTAAAACCCTGGTTTGTGTCTTGGGGAGGCTGCAGGATCTGAGTGAGGTCAGTAGCACTCCCGGTTGCAATTCTTTTACCGTGTCATGGCGCAGTCGAATAAGGCAGCGTCTGGGATCATCCTGGGCATAAGTTCGAACCTTCATCACAGCCCTTGTAAATTTATTCATTTGATATATCACGCTATTGTGATTTCTGTGTATACTTATATAATAGTTGTGTATAAAATGTGGCCCTTGTTCAGGCATGGTGGGAGCCGGTGGCTGAGTGGACAGAACACTGGACGCGTGATCCTGTGGTCCCGGGTTCGATCCCGGGCGCTGGCGAAAAACGATGGGCAGAGTTTCTTTCATCCTGATGCCCCTGTTACCTAGCAGTAAATAGGTACCTGGGAGTTAGTCAGCTGTCACGGGCTGCTTCCTGGGGGTGGAGGCCTGGTCGAGGACTGGGCCACGGGGACACTAAAGCCCCGAAATCATCTCAAGATAACCTCAAGATGGTGCTATCAGTGTCTTCACCACACTACCTGAGAAACTATGTTGGTCATTACCGGGAATGTCTATATTGCTAGCAGAATACAGAATCATCTGTAACACAAGTCCTGTTTCACAGTCACAGAGAACAAGGAATTTCAATCCAAATCTGTGGCATTTGGAGGGAATATACTGCTTGAAGGCAACACATCCTTTGAAAAGCACAAGAGATTCGTCAATCTCCAGCTTCTGTGCTGGTACGTAGAAATCTCTCAACTTTCCAATCAGTTCATTCAGAATGTGCCTCACTCTCCAAAAGTCCATCATCCTGTGTCTGGTCTTCATTACTTGCAAAATGGAGACACCTGAGGAGTATCTGAAACCTGTCTTGAGACATATATTTCCCGAACAAAAGTGTTGGAACAGTGTGATCTTTGCTCCAATAATCTGAGGTGACGTGTTTAACACACTGTTTCATCAACATACATAGTGCAAAAAATACATACATTTCACCTTCAGTAGTGTTTTTCCAACGCTGTAATCGTGAAAAATCTGTTATCTCATGTTCAATAAGATGAGCCATGTGAATGTTTGTTTGCAGAACAATATGTTCCATGAGCGGCTCATCAAAATATCCAGTAAAAAAAATCCATTTCACACATGTCCTCACCAATATCAGGGAAAAGGCCTGTAATTCCAACACACATTGTCAAATGTGTGTTGTCAAAGGCAGGAATTAGTGGAACAAAATCATCACCATCACTCTACACAAGTACACCTGCTGTCCTGCGAGACGAAACAGTGGCACCACGGCGAGGAATCTTTGCACACAGTGGACCATGAGCTGAAACCCATCTACGCAAAGTACGGGCACAAACTGAAGATGAAGTAAAATCACGTGAACATGAGGAGCTTTGTTCCTCATTGTCTCCATGTGGTGACATGCGGCGGCGCTTGGCTGGGCGAGACGCCGACATGACAAATATCGCTTGGTAGCACCACTGGCACTAGCGACAGGCGTAGTAATACTTTGTTCTGATTCAACTTTACTAAAACCAGAGAAAAAAGTCACCTTCCTCCGACTTGTCGCCCAAAATATCCTCATACTCTAAATAAGTACAAGAACTGTGTGGCCATGAGTGAATTGGTGTACAGACTGGGCGACAAGGCATTGCTGAGCTTCTAGGCCTCGCCATGGGCTCAGGCTGTATCTCACTCTCACTCTCTGTGCTAATCTCATTGGGCTCCTGTGCATAGTCTTTATCCATGTCAGAGTCATCAATCTCACTTTCCCTCACCATCAGAAAATAGTTTACTATTTATTTGATCATAAGTCAATGATTGCATGGTGTGTGCCCAGGAGGCATTTGACCATGTGCTCGCCATGGTGACTGTTGGGTAACTGAGGCCTCCCACCCGTTGGTGGCCATGCTGAATTTTTTTTTTTAAATGGCGGCTGTTTACTATAGCCTTTGGGTAGCATATGGGGTCCCCCCTCTACCCCGCAGGCTGTTTAAATCTTGCATGGTACTCGAAAACATCATATGGTGTCGTACGCAATTTGTCGACAGTTACTCAAGACATCATATGATGCTTTGCTAAAGATTTTTCACATAATTTGTAGGTTGTGTGTGGTCTATGTTTTCCTATTCCACATTCCATAACATGGTATTTATTCACATAAAATTCCATTAACCAAGTGATGCTCTATACGTTTATTTTGTCCATGTTTCCAGTCCAATACATTGCCTCCGATTACTGCCCTCATTTTCTGTGAGAAAATTTTTCATCCATGTTTGAAGCCTCCCTGTCACTCCTCCAGTATGTTCCAGTTTTCAGAACTGTCTTGTATGAGGAACTCTTGGGCCTTTTATCATATATTTCACAGATCTTGACATACATCTCATTTTCTTTCTTGCCTAATAGTAAGTTTTTCCAATCATATTCCTTAAAAAAAAATCCTAAGTTCCCCATAATGTCCTCTCTTGTAATTATGTTTTTCAACTGCTTCAACTTCATGTTCTCCATCCTCATGTTGTGTTATAATCATGAAAGATTATAACACATGCAATGTGTTATAATCTTTCAGATTATAACACATTGCATACTTTATTCCCAAAAGGACATGGTCACTTTTATCCAAGGGAGGAAGATACTGAATGTCAAATATCTCTTCCTCTTTCCTGGTAAAATCAAATCTAGCATGGAGGGAACGTTGCCTTCTCTCATCATTGTAACGTGCTGATACATAAATGTCTCCAGGATAAGATTTACTAATCTATAGGTCCAAGAGTTTCTACAGAAGTAGGAAGAAGCTTGTGGATTACAACAAGGGCCTGTTTGAATTAAATTGGGTGGAGCTATCCTTGTAATTAGCAGCAAGGAGTCACTGCCCCTGGAAGACATTATCACCACCAACAAAATTCTTAGAAGAATTGACAGGGTGGACAAAGATAAACTATTTAGAATGGGTGGAACATGGACAAGGGGACACAGGTGGAAACTGAGTATTCAAATAAGCCACAGAGACATTAGAAAGAATTTTTCACTGTCAGTGTAATTGACAAATGGAATGTATTAGGCAGTGATGTGGAGGCAGACTTCATACACAGTTTCAAATGTATTTATGATAGAACCCAATAGACATGAATCTCTACACTAGTTGATTGACATTTGAGAGGCGGTACCAAAGAGTCGAAGCTCAACCCCCCCGCAAACACAACTAGGCAAGTATAGTTAGGCGAATACTATAGGATCCCTCTCATAAATGCACAGATGAATAAATACAAATGCTTTGAATATTAGGGTTTAATTAATTGGTAAGTTAAATATCCTGGTAGCATTAATTGTCCTCTTTAGTTTGATGTTCATTAACCCCAGCTTTTCTATTTCTTTCATCCTTTTCACACCCTCTAGTTTAAGATCCCTCGACCTGTACCAGGAAATGGTGGAACGTTGCCAATTGATCCAGGAAGACATCCTCAGGTAATTATAATTTCATCATTTATTTTTCAAAACAAATTCTGATAAATCTAGTAATTACTTTTAATTTGGCATGGATGTTTGTAGTTGACTTCTGGGCAAAACCTCTTGTGGCTCCGTGAAGCTATTATATACTGATATGGTACCATCTACTGCAGAGTTCTATAGGCTTACCAGGGACCTGCACCAGAACCTGGCCAGAGAGCAGTGACATTTATTTATGCCACCACTGGGGAAGGCAACCTGAAAGTCAGTGAGTCAACACAAAGCTCTGCTAGCTTCAATAGAAATTGTAGCCTTGAAAACCACAAAGAACTTCCCAACTATATAAACAAACGATTTAAATTTCTTGGAACTTGTTCAAGCTTGCCCCACCTTCCCCACTCATTTCAGGAGAGGGGGAAGGCGGCTCACAGTCAGCTGGCATCTCCACCCTCAATTCTATGGTGATATAGTAGGTACTAGGTTGCCTCTTCTGCTCTGGCTAAGTGTTCTGCTGTTCAGCTAAGCTGTGGTTTTTGCCCTTGATGGCATTTCCAGTACACTGCATGTAACATGAGCCTTGTCCTGAGAGTACTTGACATTGAGTGTGCACAAGATTATCTTCACTGTGTGCTCCCTAGTAATTACTTAAGTGTAATTACCTAAGTGTAGTTACAGGATAAGAGCTACGCTCATGATGTCCCATCTTCCCAGCACTCTTTGTCATATAAGGGTCCCGGTAGTACAGTCGGGTTCGTTTTTAACGCACAATCAAGAATTCCAGATTTGAATCCCAAATGGGACAGAAATGGTTGGGCACATTTCCTTTCATCTAATGCAGCTGTTCACCTAGAAGTGAGTAGGTACTCAGGAGCTAGTCAGCTTGTTGTGGGGTTGCATCCTGGACGGCGGTCAGTAATTCGGCCTTGGGGGGTTGATAAGCCAAACATATATGAATATACTCTGGCTTTCTCTCCCCTAACATAATGAATTATAACGCTTTGAAACTACTGATGGTTTTGGCTTCCATCTTTTTACTTAAATTGTTCCAACAGTCTGTTTGTAAAAGTGAATTTTTTCTTATATTTTCTGGGGGAAGCCCCTTTGGCTCCCTGGAGCTTATCCAGGTTGATTTGGAACTATTAGACTTTTGCATCAGTCAGTCAGTGTGAATGGAGTTCTTAGGCCTACCGGGGACTACAAGCCAGAACCTGGCCCCCCTCAGAGAGGCACGAGGAGCAATGGCCTATAGAAATGCATGTGTGATTTGCAGCATTCTATGTCTGCCATCAACTGGGTCAGGCACCTAGAAAGGTAAGGATCCCAAAACTAACCCCTATTCTGGTTGAAACTACTACAAAAAATCAAATGAGTGGACAGAACTCCCCAAAGAAAACAAGCATGACATAACCACATGCCACTCCGCTATCTGCGTAGCTCCACCCTCCCTGGGAGGGAGGAGTGGGAGCCCCAGACCTCATGCGCTGGCTGCCCACACTCCAGTTCTCAGCTGATGTGTTTGAGGCTTGGTCGTGTGACTCCAGCTCCTGTTTCTTGTCTGTGCTGTGCCTTGTGTTTAGTGCTGTCTTCAGGGTAGTACGTAAGCTGGGAGTAATCTTCACAGGTATTTGGGCTGCACGCGCTTAGGGTTCCCTTCCCTAAGTGCCCTGTAAGTACTGCCCTTGGGGCTTGGGAATATCTTCAAGTCATCTTGGGGTCTACCTCTGTTGGTGTTTTGCTACTTGGTAATTGATGGCCCTGAGTGTGCTGGGGGGTTTCCTCCTCCCTTGATTACCTTAGGGTAAGGGGTAGTTTGCACTGGTAGGGGCACGGGGTACTGCAAAGCTAGTTGTCACCTATTATAGTGGCCGGCTCTGTTCCGCCTGAGGTACATTGTCCTCTTGGGGTATTTTCCTTTTGTTTTTGTTTTCCTGCCTGGTGGGGGCCTGCCTTTGGTTTGTTGCCCCCTATCTATGTCTTAGGTTTATATCTAAGCTTCAAGAGGAAGCTCTCAACAAAATGAATGTATGTATCAGTACTCTAACCTCCCAACATTCTTTCTCCCAGGACGAACAAGACCAGCAAAAGCTGCTTGACTCTGTTGTTGTGCGGCTCAATCCATTCCTGTTGAAAGTGAAGGTGAGAATTGTATTGATATAGTACATGCTCTCATAAAACCAGCGTTGAATGTAATGAAGCGCCATTTTCTGGGTGAGCCCCGGAGGCTCCCTGGAGCTTATCGGGCTAATGTATGTTATGTTAGACCGGGACATTAGCTATGGAGTTCAGATCTACTAGGGACCAGCGCCAGAACCTGGCCCCTTCAGAGAGGTTTCAGGGAGCAATGGCCCTGGACAACCCCCTTGTGGTTGGGGGTTTTCCTTGCCTGCCATCGACCGGGGTCAGGCACCCAGATGCAGCTGAAAGGTAGGCATAACAAAACAAACCCCACATGGTAAAAACTACAACAAAAAAACGAACAGAGAGGTGGAAACTCCCTACAATCCCAAGGAAACAATCAATCAATTTACTGCCGTGCCGGTCATCTGCGCAGCCCTCCCCTCCCCGGGAGCGGGAGGGGGGGCCCCGGACCTCACCACGCCAGCTGCCTTCAGTTCGGAAACTAGGCTTCAACCAAAGTGAAAAAAACCCGCCAACCGGATGGGAGGGAGGATAGCCAGGGAGCCTTCGGGGCTCACCCAGAAAGTGGCGTTTCATTACATTCAATGCTGGTTTTCTGTGGGGAGCCCCTACGGCTCCCTGCAGCTACATACCCAAAGAGAAGGAAATAGAGACTTACCCGGGAGACGGCGGCCACAAACTCCTCAACGTGAAGTCGAGACAACTGTCTGCAACCTGCGACCCAAAGCAACACAAGAACGCTGAAGAGCAGGGGCGTTCACCAAATAACAGGCGGCCAGGACCCTGTTCGACTTCCAAAATCCACACGCCCGAATATGAGCCCAAGACATGTTACCAAACACGGCAGCCAAAGCTGCAAACTTCTGAACGTCATGAGCGCGAGGATAGACCGCAGGCTGGCTAGACTTAATAACCCTGCGGACAACCTGGGAGATCCAAGCCCTGGAACAGGGAATGAGGGGAAACCCGATCAACCCAAAGTGCATCCCCAGCCACCCCAGCTGAAGCGCGCAGGTAACTGCAAAGTGCTGCAACCGGACACAACATATGATGCATCCCCGGCCGAACCAACCAAGCATCAATGACCCACGGATCCCTCTGGAAAGCAGCCGTCTCGTTCTTCACCAGAAAAGATGGAGAAGGCTGCAAACGGACAAACCTACCCCCTAGGACCAAAAGAGCAGAAGCCCCTGCGCCGGAGGAGAGCATGAAGCTCCCCTACCCGGCCTCCAGAGGCCAATGCCAACAAAAACAAAGCCTTGGAAAAACAATCCGGAACCGAAAGGGCCACCACAAACCGAGGAGAGGAGAGATAGGAGAGCACCCTGTCCAAGGACCAGGATGGCCCAGGAGGCGCATGAGCAGGCCGGAGGTGAAACATAGTACGGGAAAGCTTACGAAACGGGGTGGATGTGACGTCCACCCCGAACACTAGCTTGAGCGGCTCCGCCAGTGCCGCACGATACGAGGCGACAGTATAGGCATCAAATGACAGTCCTGAAAAAGCCAAGAAAGAAAGGACAAGACAAACCGATCCAAAAGAAAAGACAACCTACGAAGAGTCAGAAAATGGCGAAAAGAACGCCAAGAAACTTCATACTGTCGCCGAGACAAAGCTCTCAGCTGGGACACTATCAACAAAGCCACCTGATCACCATAGAATTGGTGATACACCCGCATCAAAAAGACCAGATGCGAAGAGCAGAGGAGAAGGTCGAACCATCCCTGTACCGAACCGGGCCGACCTGCTGAAAGAGGTGAAGCCGCGGGAAACATCCTGGGTTCGGGCTCCAAGCCAATAGCACCGGAAACCTAGGCTGGGCCGGCCACCAAGGGGCCACAAGGACTACTCTCCCTGGGAATGTATCCAACCGAACCAGAACCCAAAGCAACAGCTGGACAGGGGGGAAGAGGTACTGGTAACCCCAACTCGACCAGTCCTGCCGAAAGTCATCCACTGCGAACGCCTTGTAGTCGGGAAAGAGCGTCGCATAGATTGGAAGATGCGGAGATCACGCCGGCGTGAAGAGGTCCACATCTGGGAGACCATATGTCTGGCAGATCCAACGAAACGACTCGTCGTGGATAGGAGATGGAAGCGTGACAGACCGTCTGCCAGAACGTTGGACACTCCCCAGACATGAACCGCACGGAGAGCCAAACCCCAAGAATCCAGCAGACGAACCACTCAGAGACCAACTAAAAAGAGCTAAGGACCGAAGAGAACCCCCACGGTTCAGGCAATGAAACCACTGGAGAAGAGTCCGAATGGAGGCGAATGGTCGATCCCCGAGCGAGCCGAACCCTCTGAAGCACGAACCAGACTGCCGCGAACTCATGAACCGTGCTGTGAGCCTGACAGAAGGATGAACCCCACCGTCCCTGGCCTGCCTGGTGAGCACTGGTCACAAAGCCCCAGCCGAGATACGACGCATCCGTGAACGTGTCAAGCGAAGGCTTGGGAAGGCACCAAGGCACCGAACCCCGAAAACCCCGAAGAGGAAGCCGGTGACGTAGAAACCGACACAAGGCCCCCAGTCGACGAACCCAATGATAGTGAGAGAGGCGGAAGGGACGTCCCCAAAGGAACCAAAACAGACGCCGAAGCCAAACCCGACCAGGCGGGTAGACTAGCACGGCAAAGTTTAGACTCCCACACAACCGCTCGAGCAACCGCAGAGTGACCCGGGACCCCTTCAGAAACAGCCGACGGCGGTCCCACAGCCGCTACAACGCCTCTGGAGGGAGAGACAAGGAAGCGGTCCGAGAATCCCAAACAAGACCCAGTCAGGTCCGAACCTGGGATGGAACCAGATGGGACTTCCTCCAGTTCCCCAGGAATTTGAACCTGGTGAGCTGGGAAAGAACCATATCCCTGGCGAGCAGACAAGCTGACCGATATGGAGCCCACACCAAACGAATTCAGCCAAAACCCGAATCCATAGAAGACGCAGACGGGTCACCATCCCTAGAAGACGCAGACGGGTCACCATCCCTAGAAGACAGACGGGTCACCATAACACAGGTCAGATGCGTGAAAATACAAGGTGCCAGATTCAAGCTAAAAGGTAGGCATCAATAACGGTAAGAGTGATGCCCCACCACAAAACCTAACTAGTCCCTGAACCCCGGATGAATAGGAACGTGCCAATAGGTGTCCTTGAGGTCCAGACACACCATCCAGGCAACCGGCTCCAACAGAAGCCGGACCTGAGACAGAGTAGTCATCCGAAAGGAGGGGCAAGGAATCTAGGGGTTCAGGCAGGGCAATGAATGAACCAGATCCAGAATGAACCTCAGATCCGCACAGTCCCTTTTCGGCACTGGAAACAGACAGGAAACCCACCTGAGGGATGTAGTCGTTTCGACCATGCCAAAGCGCATCCACTCAAAGACGACTTGACGAAGCGCAGGAGAAGAAACCTGCCCTATTAGACCCGAACCCCCCAAAGGAGGACGAGTCACCCAATGCCACCACAGGCCGGATGACACGACCAAAAAGGACCACAAATCGTGGGACCAAGCATGAGCAAACAGAGCGAGTCTCCCCCCCATCGCCTTGTCAATGGGGCGAACCGCGAAAGGGCGGTTCGACGAGAACCCAAACGTCGAACAGGGTGATCACCACGCCGACCAGATGATGCTGGCCCCGAAGGGAACAACGGCTCAGAAACTGGCACCAATGGCCCACCTCAACCAGCGGAACCCGGAACCCTGTCACAACTCCTCCGAAACTGCCGAGAACGACCGCTTCGGAGAATCAATAAGTCCGCCATAGGATGACAACTGGAGGAAGCCGCGTGCAGAAACTGAGAGACCGCAGTCTCTGCAAACAGCAACGGATAAAATGGAGACGAAAACCTAGGAACCAGGGCCCAAGCGGATTCCAAAGAGAGGGCGAGCACAGCCTGATGGCACGCGAGAAGCAAAAAACAGACGCCGCTTCCTTCAGGATGGGTGCAAAGAGCTTCAACAGTGCAGCCGACACCCTAGCTGCCGAAGTCAGCGCCCCAGATGAAAGCCCTTCACTCAACGCTCCCACATCCTCCTCAAGCAGAAGACAGCTCGAGAAGGGAAAAGAAACGCAAAACTGAAGCCAAGTGCCCACGGGCGCGCAACTCCTCCGCAACCAAAAAAGCTGAAAGCTGAAGAACCTGCATGTGAAGCTGGAAAAGGCCAACATCCCGTCCCGAGAAAGCACAGGAGCGAACAAGCACGCATTAACACTTTCGCGCTCTCGGCGCTCAAAAAAAAACAATACCCCAGATGCTTTCGGCACTTCGCGCGCCTACGCGGTAAGACCGAAAAAGTGTACACTCTTTTGACTGTCCTGACAATAATTGAAGGCGCACGTATTTAAATTTGGTATCACTGTGTTCGCAATGAAATTGTCTATAAGAGCATACCTATAAAATGCCGCCCAAGCATAAGGAGTATCGACACCAAATAAAAAACTATGCAGATCACTCGCCGAGAGCGCCAAACAGCAACAAAATGTTTCCACACTCTTAATGGTTGCGAAGCCTACAGTTGTCCTACATCGCTAATTTTGGTATCATTGGAATCGCAATACAATTCTCTACACGGACATATGCATATGAATGTTTAATATAGGTAATTGCCCACCCGCAAGAGTGTGTGAAGTGGAGAGTAGTTAGCCGCGAGCGCACTGGCGAAAACACAGGGGGGAAATCATGCTTGGAAAGTTTATACGTTTCCTGACCCTACTTTTCTATGTACGTATTTCTTTTTTATACCAATGTGTTCGCAATAAAATTTTCTATAAGATGAACTGTATAACATTTGTACAAAGCATGTGTAAGAGAAGCGCCAAATATAGAACCACGTCGCTCAGTATGCGTTCGCGGCAGAAACGAACGCATTGTTTTCGTTCGTTTGATGTTTGTCATGTTTATACTTGTTGAAACATTTTATAATTTGTATGACAGTGATCGCAGTAAAATTCCCTACACAGACATATACATAAAACATACAAA